GGTTGGAAAGAGGGAACCGATTATAAGGAACCTCCTCCCTGGGGGACGGACAACAGAAAAGTGCGTGAAGGGAGACGTCAGACAGAGCAAGATATGACAAAATAATAATTTATAAATTATCAAGGGCCCATGAGGGAGAGGGGAGCGGGGAGGGGAAAAAATGAGGACCTGATGCCGGGGGCTTAAGTGGAGAGCAAATGTTTTGAGAATGATGAGGACAATGAATGTACAAATGTGCTTTACACATTGATGTATGTATGGATTGTGATAAGAGTTGTATGAGCCCCTAATAAAACGATTGAAAAAAAAAGTCTGGCTCCTACATGTCTCAAGCACACCACTGGAGAGACCAATAAAAGAGGCAAATGCTTTCTTTTTTTTTTTAATCATTTGCTCTCCACTTAAGGCCCCGGCATCAGGTCCTCATTTTTCCCCTCCCCGCTCCCCCCTCCCTCATGGGTTCTTGATAATTTATAAATTATTATTTTGTCATATCTTGCCCTGTCCGATGTCTCCCTTCAACCACTTTTCTGTTGTCCATCCCCCAGGGAGGAGGTCACATATAGTTCCTAGTAACCGGTTCCCTCTTTCCAACCTACTCTCTACGCTCCCAGTATCACCACTCACACCACTGGTTCTGAAGGGATCATCCGCCCCGGATTCCTTGTGTTTCCAGTTCCTATCTGTACCAGTGTACATCCTCTAGTCTAGACAGACTTGCAAGGTAGAATTCGTGTCATGATAGTAGAGAAGGGGGGGAGCATTTAGGAACTAGAGGAAAGTTGTATTTTTCATCTTTGCTACATCGCACCCTGACTGGCTCGTCTCCTCCCCGAGACCCCTCTGCAAGGGGATCTCCAGTGAGCCAGACTTTTATGTAGCTGCCAGAAATGTATGAATCCAGTTCAAAACCATCCTCTTTTTTCAATTAATATTTTGTTTTATTTATTAATATATATATCATTCCATGGTTCAATCACATTAAACAGAATTGTACAATTGCTACCACAATCAGTTTCCAAACATTCTTTTTCTACATAGACTCCTTGATATAGTCTCCTCTTCAACCCACCCTCCACCAGTGTACTCCTCTCCCCTCAAAACCCTTATTCTACTTGCTGTCTCTATGGGTTCATCAATCCTGGGTTTCCTCTATCAAAAAATGGAAAAACAGATAGCACAACTTCAAGAGAGTGACCTCCAAAGACATGACACCTCTGAGATTCACCCTAACATGGACAAGCAAGGACCAAACAGAACAATACAAACCAAAAATACAGGAAATTTTGGAAACCAGATCAGGCCCAGCATGCATCTTAGATCTACTGAGAAGGTTTTATCTATTCAAGTAAGATTTATGCCTTTGATCTTCTAAACTCGTCTCTTCAAAGCTCTGTTTAGGATCTACTTTCCTCCCCATCCCTCTATTGTAGATAGAAAGAATTCTCCAGAGACTATGTAGTTCCACAAATCCACCCGCTGCTGTCTCGGTTCAGGTCTTTGTAAAACTTCCCACTTGGCCTGTTCCTTCACTATCACCCACTTCCAGGAACCATTCTACAGCTGAGTGGTAGTGCTTTATATCAAAAATGACTTCAAAATCAACCGAAGAGTGGGGAGAATTGTTAAAAGCATTTAGCTAATACAAAGTGTCCTAAAATATTTTGTAGAGTCCTTTTAAATAACTTTTGAAATAATATTCACATTGTTTATATTGTTTTATTCTTATTGCCAATTTATAGTGTACACAAAGGGATTAATCCCATTTAGGAGATGAGTAATTGAAGAAATAGAAAGCTTAAAAGGTTGATCTAATACTATTTACACAGCTTGCTTGTAGCAGAAAGAGTGGAATTGCACTTTCTCCTGGTGTCTACCAAACATCAAAACAAACCCACTGCTATCAAATCAGTTCTGACTCATAGCAACCCTTTATAGGTTTCCCAAGGCTGAAAATCTTTATGGAAGCAGATAGCCCCATCTTTCTGCCAAGAAGTGGCTGGTGGGTTTGAACTGCCAACCTTGCAGTTAGCAGTTCAGCACTTACCTAATAGCACCACCAAGCATCAGTGTTCTATAATATTAAATTTAATATTAATTCTATAATATTAAACCATGGAATGGCATGTGACCATTTGAATTACATTAAAGGGTAAAATTGTCTTATCTCTTGAAATCTTATTAAAAATTAACATATACACATGAAATTAATAACCAACAACTATTGTTGTTGGATGCCACTGAGTCACTTCCAGCTCATAGCAACTCTGCACACCCAAATGCAACAGGGCCTGAGGTCACTCCATCCTCACACTTGTTCCTGTGTTGGAGCCATCCTTGCAACCACGGTGCGAAGTCACCTCGTTGAGGGCTTTCCTCTTTGCTGCCCCTCCACTTTACCAAGCGTGATGTCCTTCTCCAAGAATTAGTCTCTCCTGACATGTCCAAAGTATGTAAGGTGAAATCTTGCCCGTGGGACACAGAGGACTAGGAAGAGAGTGTATGCGGATGAATTCTTTATTCTCATATTATTCTCATATTTTAAGAAGCCTCGGAAGCCAGGATTCTGGGTGAAGGGAGACCTTCACACTTGTGGGTTAGAGATGAGTCCCAAATCGCATTCTCATAACTAAGGTTAACCCCCACAATATCCTCCCATAATAGTGCTGCCTTAAAGTTACTTCTTACAAGCACACGGCTGATTACTATCTAGTCTGGAGCAGACTTGTGCTATTGCTCTCCCTGCTCACTTCCCCTTACCTGCCTCAGCACTGGTGTTAGGTTACTCCCCTCCAGTGAACTCAGGGACCGCTAGGGTTAAGAGTATAAAGCCCACTTTGTTACCTATGTGGTTATCTATAATTAGAGGAGCTTACATGCCCCAAGAGTATATATAAGCTAATGTTGAGAATATATTATGTGTGTGTGTACCTGGCTCCTAAAATCATGGCGGTGATGAGCACCCCAAAACTTTTGTCTGTCTCTTAATTGCTTCCCTTCAAATACGCAGTTGTCCCTTAGGACCCACGTGGCTGGATCTCACACTTGCCATCTGTGCCGCTAGGGAGCACTCGGGATGTACTTCTCACAAGAACAGATCTGTTTGTCCTTTTGGTGGTCCGTGGTACTTTCCATATTCTACACTGGCACCACAATTCAAATACATTGATTATTTGGTCTTCCTGATTCATTGTTCAACTTTCATATGCCTATGAGGCAATTGACAACACCATGGCTTGGGTCAGATGCACCTTAGTCTTCAAAGTAAAATCTTTGTTTTTTAATACTCTAAAGAAGTCCTATGCAGCAAAGTCACCCAATGTAATGTGTCATTTGATATCTTGACTGCTGTTTCCATGAGCATTGGTTGTGGATCCAAGAATGAAATCCTGGACAACGTCCACCTTTTCTTCATGATCCTGATGTTACCTAGTGGTGCAGTTGTGAGGATTTGGGTCTTTTTGACATCGAGTCATAATGCATGCTGAATTACGGATTCAATCCTTGATCTTCATCAGCAAGTGCTTGAAGTCCTCAGTCTCAGCAAATAAGACTGCGTCACCTGCGTACCGCAGATTGTTAATAAGCCTTCCCCCCATTCTGATGCCACATTCTTCATATGAGCCAGCTTTTCTGCTGATAGGCTCCTCATATAGCTTGACTAAGTATGATGAGAGGATACAACCCTGATGCACACCTTTCCTGATTTCAAACCATGCAGTATTCTCTTGTTCTGTTTGCACAACTGCCTCTTGATCAATGTACAAGTTCTGCATGAGCACAATCAAGTGTTCTAGAATTCTCATTCTTCTGAAGGTTATCCACAGTTTGTTATGAGCCACAGAGTCTAATGCCTTGGCACAGTCAATAAAACACAAACGTCTTTCTGGCATTCTCTGCTATGAGCCAAGATCCATCTAACATTAGCAATGATGTTCCTTGTTCCATGTCTTCTGAATCAGGCCTGAACTTCTGGCAGCTCCCTGTAAATGTGCTGTTACAACTGTTGCTGAATGATCTTCAGAAAAATTGTACATGCATGTGCTATCATAGATACTGTTTTATAGTTTGAGCATTCTGTTTGTTCACCTTTCTTTGGAATGGTACAAACATGGGACATGGTCTAGTTCATTGTCCAAATAGCTGTCTTCCGGATCTCCTGGCATTGAGGAATTATTCATGCTATTCATGATTGAGGTTGTCAAGGATTTCCTTTTGCTGAGATCCACAATCAGTGCTCATGGAATCAGCAGTCACTAAATCAAATGACGTATTTCATTGGGCAAATCTGCTGCACAAGACCTCTTTTAAGTGTTGAAGAGCAAGGACATCACTTGGCCTAAGATGCACCTGACCCAAGCCATAGTGTTTTCAATCATTTAATACAGATATGTAAGGAAAGCTGAAGAGAAATTTATGCATTTGAATTACAGTGTTGGTGAAGAATATTGCAAATACGGTGGTTGTCAGAAAAATAAATCTGGTTTAAAAGAAGTACAGCCAGGGTGCTTCTTAAAGCAAGGATGATGAGACTTTGTCTCATGTACTCTGGACATGTTATAGAGAGACTAGTCCCTGGAAAAGGACATCATGCATAACAAAGGAGAGGATCAGTTGCGGGGGGAGGGCGGGGAGGAAACCCTACAGGAGATGGCTTGACATGGTGACTACAATAATGGCCTGAAACCACACTTGTGAGGATGGTGCAGGACTAGCCAGTGTTTTGTTCTGTTGTACATAGGGTCACTATAGGTCAGAACAAACTCAAAGGCACCTAACAACAACATTTACCATGACATTGGAAAATCTTTTTGGCATGGCCTAGTTTTAAAATCCCTCCCTAAGTGTAAATTTTATTAAAACGATCTTGCTGACTCGTTGCAGGGATATCCTTTGCAGTCATAGGTAGTTCTGGTTTCTTTTTAGTTTGCCCCTGACTGTGCAAGTTAGAAGGAGCCCTGGTGGCATAACCCATGGCTGAGCTGCCAACCACAAGGTTAGCAGTTTGAAACCAGGCCCCATCTTGAGAGAAAGATCACAGACTTTCTACCCCTGTAAAGATTTACAGTCTCAGAAACCCACAAGGGCAGTTCTACCCTGCTCTATGGGATCAGTCTGATTCAGAACTGACCCATGGCAGAGGTTTGAGTTGGTGTAAGCCAAATGCTGAGATGAGTCCAGGGTTAATTAGCTTTTATGTGTTTCTTTCTTTGTCTTGTCAAATGTCTGGAAATGATAACGCCATGGTACCTTTAAGGCTAGATATCTACTTTACAATCAAGCCTCCCAGATCCTAAAAGTCAGTCTGAGGACTCAGACTCTGAGTTATAGGATCATCTCTGCTTTCTTGTCATTTCTACAAACAAGATCCTATAGTCCTTGTCAAGAAAACAAGCAAACAAACAAAAATACCATGCCCTTTAGAATTGTTTCATATCACCATAACATTAGTTTAATCATCTCATCAAAATGACTGGTTTGAGTAAGTTACAATGAGGCGAGAATTTACATAGTAGGAATGCTTGGTTTGGCTTTTTCTTTTAATGATGACTTAGATAGAAAATCAAATCTATTTTCTTTTCTTCCTGCTAGAGACTGGAGGTTATGTTATTTCCTCTTCACTGCTGCCGAAGGAGTCCTTCAATATCAACTCTGAGTTATCTGTAGTTGTCTTTTTTTGCTGTTCTGTAAATTGCTTGCCTTCACCATCGTAGCCAAACCAATAGGGAGGGTCCTCAGGGTTGTATTCTTGTTGCTGAACCAAAGTTGACATTTTGAGAGCTGCCTCCCTGTAATTATAGAGAGCACCATTAATTCATTGCAGAAGTAATCACAACAGGATTTTCTATCATGACTGCAGCCATCAAGTCAGAACACCTTATGCTAAGCTTCCAATCCTTCAGAATATCCCTGATTAACAATAACCAAGCAGATAAATGAGGAGAAGTGGGGGGATCTATTAGTAATTTACAATTAGTTGTGAGCTGGTTTAATCAGATCTAACTCCTAGGGGAGAGGAGCTGAATGAAAGTGTTTTGAGAGAAGCTATAACACAGCAAGGTGCAGAGCTGAGAAGCAGTGGGGCGCTGAGGAGAGGTACATGCAACCACAAAGGCCACTTTGGAAGAGAACTACTCTTGTTCAACTCAGAATGTTGGCTCCAACTAGGCAGAAAAATAAAGTGGAAGTTTATAGCCCTGAAAGTCCCTGTGTGTTCAGAAGGCTATAATCCTGTGTTTCTCTTTCTCAGAAAGTGGTTCTCAAAGCTTTTCATATCCAGGTACATACTTACTTGGAAATCTGTTTGCAGTATTGCATCTTAAGGATCCGGAGTTGTTTACAGCCTCTCTGAAGGTTCTCAAAGATTTGGTCAGTAAGGAGGACACAGCCAGAGATATCCAGAATGTGCACGTAATGGCACTTTGCAGATAATAACTCCATTGCCACATCAGTAATCTGAACACAGTCAAAGTAAGTACTGGTTAGTTAGATGAACCCCTGTCCTACAGAACAAAACAGGGCCCTCTCACCCAGCCTGACACATCATGTGCCTTTAACTCAACGGTTTACCTCTATTTCCAGATTAGCTCCAAATACAATTGATATCAGTGTAGGTTGTCGGGCTACCGTTATTTTCAATGTAGAGTACTCTGGTATGGATGGGAAACGTCATCAAAACTTTTCTAGTAATACTTGTTACATCAATGTTGCAGAGGAAGCTTTTGACTTTGAACTTAAATTCATTCTGAGGGCTCAGTGTGCAAGACTAGGTTTAGTAACATTCCAAAGGGGTTTCCAAATATTGGTGGGAAAATGTAATGAAAAGGTAATGACTTATTCCACCAAAATGTTGAAGTCTTCTCTATTTCTACAAAATACGTATCTCCTGAAGCTAGCCTGCAAACAGGGTCAGACTGCCTTCAGGATAGGTCTGGATATTTCTGGTGGTTTACATGTAAGGATGGTAGAATGAACTGAGCCTTTTGGGGAAGGGACAAGTTGTTGGGAGACAAGAAGAAGAGGATAGGAGCCACAGAGATTGCATGACTATTGCTCTGAGCAATCCTCCTGAGGGTGCCCACATGTTACCCTGAGGTTCTGCAGCCATAATTTAATCCTCTCTAGATGATTTCCATTTGCCCTGGTGGTATGTTGCCTTATGAGTTGGGCTGTTTGCTACCTGGAAGACCAGTTGCTGAGAGGCCAGGAGGAAGATGAAGCTTTCTTCTCCCATATGGATTGACAACCTCAGAAACCCTAGGGAGCAGTTCTAGTTGACCTTATTAAGATTGCTGTAAGACATTCTTTTCAAGCTCGCATGGCACATATTCAAAGATAGACCACATGCTGGGGCATAAGGGGAATCTACATAAATTTAAGCACATTGATATCATACAGACCTCTCTCTCTGATCACTGTGCCATAAGGCTGGAAATCAACAAAAGGAAGACGCAGAAAACAAGAGCAAACAATTGGAGGATGAATAGCTCTACTGCAAAAGGAGTGCGTACTGGCACAGATCAGAGATGAAATTAGGAAATTTCTAGAAATCAACGAGAATAAGCACAAGACATACCAAAACTTATGGGACACAGCAAAGGCAGTAATCAGAGGAAGATTCATAGCAATACATGCACACCTGAGAAAGGAAGAGAGACTCATGATTGATATGCTAGCACAAAATTTACAACTAGAGCAGAGGCAGCAGGACAATCCTAGCAATAGAAAAATAAAAGAAATAATAAAAATCAGGGCTGAGATTCAGGAGAGGGAAAATAATAAAACTGTGGGGGAAAATTAATGCTGCTAAAAGTTGGTTCTTTGAAAGGATAAACAGAATCGACAGACCACTTGCAAATTTAACCAAAGAAAGGAGGGAACAAATTTCAATAGCAAGAATAAGGGATGAAAGAGGGGACATTACAACATACCCAAATGAAATCAAAAGGATAGTTACACAGTACTATGAAGGATTGTACCCCAATGAATTCAACAATTTGGAAGACATGGAAAATTCTTGGAAAAACAATCCCTCCCTAGACTGTCCCCAAAGGATGTCAAGAATCTCAACAGACCCATAGCAATAGAAGAAATAAACAAGGTTATGAAGGGATTACCAACCAAAAAAATCCCCTGGACCAGATGGCGTCACTGGAGAATTCTACCAAGCATTTAGGGAAGAACTAACACCAATCCTACACAAATTCTTCCAGAACATAGAAAAAGACGGCAAACTCCCAAACTGCTTCTATGAAGCTAGTATAACTCTGATACCCAAACCGGGCAAGGATCCCACAAGAATCGAGAACTACAGACCAATATCCCTAATGAACATCGATGCAAAAAATCCTTAACAAAATATTGGCCAATAGAATACAAAAGTATATAAAACAAATGGTTCAACATAAGAAAGACCATTAATCTCATTCACCATATTGACATGAAAAACTATAAGAACCACATGATAATATTGATAGATGCAGAAAAACATTCGACAATATCCAACACCAATTCCTGTTTAAGACACTTGAGAAGACAGGAATGGAAGAAAAAATCCTCAAGACAATACAAGCTATATATGAAAAACCAACAGCCAACGTGGTACTCATTGGAGAAAAGACTAACACAATCCCACTGAAAAAAGGGACCAGACAAGGATGCCCCTTATCCCCACTCTTATTTAATATCATGCTGGAGGTTTTAGCTAACAGCATAAGGCAAAGAAAAGATATCAAAGGTATTCGTGTGGGGAAGGAAGAGGTGAAACTATCATTATTTGCAGATGATATGATTTTATATATGGAAAATCCCAAAAGCTCCACAAGGGGGGTACTGGAAGCAATAGAGGAGTTTGTCAGAGTGGCAGGATGCAAGATCAACAAACAGAAGTGTACTGGACTGTTGTTATACACATCGGATGAGACCACAGAAGAGATTTTAAAAAGGTGGTACCCTTCACAATAGCCAAACACAAATTGAAATATCTAGGGATATACCTGACTAAAAGAACAAAAGATCTATATGGGGAAAACTACAGAACACTATTACAAGAAACCAAGAGCGACCTCAACAAATGGAAGAATATTCTATGCTCGTGGATTGGAAGATTCAGTATAGTAAAGACGTCAGTTCTGCCTAAGGCACTATATAAGTCTAATGCAATTCCGATACAATTACCCTCATCTTTCTTGAAAGAAATAGAAAAACTGATTACCAACTTCATATGGAGAGGGAAGAAACCCAGAATTAGCAGAGAACTCCTCAAGAAGAAGGACACAGTGGGAGGGCTTGCTTTACCTGACTTTAGCACATACAATATAGCCACAGTTGTCAAAACTGCATGGTATTGGTACAATGACAGATACTCAGACCAATGGAAAGGAACTGAAAACCCAGAAATAAAATCATCAGCATACAGACAACTGATCTTTG